AGATCCGGGAAATCTCAGTAGACTTTCATCTTTATCACACGCAATTTCATATTAAGGACGCATCATGATTCGTTGAGATGACTGCGCATAGCAACCAAATGTTCACTCGGTTCTTAATTACCATCATTTAAATATATGAAAAGACGTCTATAATAGACCGTGGATATATATACGAGTCCATAAAAATCTGAATAAATCAACCATACACATGAAATGCGACATCCCAACGTCGCCAAGCTAGGTGCTCGTGCTGTTTGAAACATATCGGAATAACTATCCAACCTTGAGTTACTTGGCTACCTAGGAAATGAAATTGTGCTCACCTTATCAATACCGCCCTCGCTCGTCATCATTCCTTCGTTAGAATGACCAATGTTCGGGGCCCAATCAACGGTAGTAAGATTGGGGATGCCACCCATATCTTCCAACATCTGAACAAAATTCTTTCCTCTGGTGACATGGTCCTCCCCTTGAGCCTGAGAGACATCGAATGGGTTATATATTTTGGAATGTAAAACGGGGAACACTCACAGCTGCCTGACATCTGTGGTCTCCGTTGGCGTAATCGGTCTGCGATGAGAGGTGGGTAACTAGGCGGAAAAACAGATGTTTATCACTCACCAGTCCCCAATCGTAATTCATATTGCGCCCATTGTATTTCTCAACAATTCCGGACCTTCCCAGTGTACGCGCACTTGCAGTGGCGTACGCGGGGAAGCCGGACTCCAGCCCATACTTGTAGTCGTCTATACCATCGCAATCGTCGACAGAGACCGGACGGTCTGACGTTAACCATAATAGAGATCCGGGATTCGCTAGGCGTATTGAAAAGTGAGGTACTATCACCGCACATAATATCAAGAGAACGTACCGATCCAAAAATGCAACCGATCATCGTTTTCAGTGGAGAGTCTCAGGGCTGCATAGCGCTGGGCCATCTGGGCGCCAGCTGAATGCCCTCCAATGACGACAACCTAAATCAATGCGTAAGAGAGTGGTGCTGAAACAGGGAGAAATCGTTACTTGTAGATTCGGATAGACAGTCTTGTCCATATAATAGGCAATGAGCGAGTCGAGTGCATCGAAGCTGCTATAGTCGGATATAGAGTCGGGGGCGACATTCGTATGCCCACTCATCCATGTCGTCTGTCCCCAAAGAAGCTGTCCATCTCTGGCGGCGCCTGAGGTTAGATCATCTTCATCGAAGAAGCATGGTCCCAGGATGGATATATGCTCGCGCACGATACTAGGGTCATCATAGGTGGCATTGTAAAGTGCGTTATTCATCGCATTCCAATCTAGGGGTCATCATCAGCGCCATATGCAAATGCAGTAAGTAGTGGACGGCGCGTACAATACCAGCAGTCGCGGGGCTTTTGACAGCGTCTATGATTGAGTAAATACGGAGACCGAATTAGAATCTGGCCCACCTTTCCGTGCAGAACAATAACTGCTCTTGTGACCTCTGTCGCATTCAGACCCGAAGACTGGTAGACAGGCTGCACAGAATGAGCTACTCGTCGATTGAAGGAGAAACCATGCATACCATGTATGCACCGAGGTCTGCATCAACGACCCATTTGGTATGCCTGTCAGCATCGACCACTTTCGGGAAGCTCTGCCAGCCGTCATCTTGGTTACCACCGACAGTAGGATTTGTATTGCTCTGCTGAGCGAGCGTGGTATAAACGAGCGAAGGGAGTATAAGGAGAGACGAGAGTAACATGGGTGTACTGGAACGAGCTCTCATCAGTAGTCAGCGAGCATATTTAAAGCATTCTCACCCGAACCGCGCAGTGGCCCATAAGTAAAAATAACAACTCGGTTCATGCATTTCATTGTCCAGGGCAGAAATTTTTGACCGAAGGAGAAATCCTCGTGTTTCGACACGAACCCAAACTGGATACCGGGTGAGGTCATCGAAATGTGAAAATGTGACCATCAGAGGACTGGAGCGCCCACACTGCATGAACAGTAGAAGGCATGCTAAACTATAAAAATAAATACCCTCCGTAATAAGCCCGTGCTTCCTGTTCCCACACGTTCGCGTTATGTGTCGCTTACGCGCTGAACTGTGATAGAACATATTTTCTCGTATAGGGGAGCGAGCATCGTGTCACTGTTTTCAATTATCAGAAAATTGAATTACGGTGACGGTTTGACGCCAGCCGAGAGGAAAACCGTTTCTAGGAAGAGCCCGTTAACGGGGGGAGCAGAAATGGGGTTAAGAGGATTTGAGGATTACGCTTCGACGACAGGCACCCGATCCGCCACCCCCTCATTTCGAAGTCTTCGACTTCCAATTTTGAATCGCTAAGACGACCCGGTACCGCAGTCCCAAGCTACTTCGTCCTCTCATCCAGTTGTGCCATATGAATACACATGTGCTCGACGTGAAAAAATCGGAAACTCGGTGAATTAACGGATGCTCGGTGCGAGACTGCAAAGGTCACCGTTCATTTCGATAAACAGCAGAGCCTCACAAGTATGGCTCATATTCACTGTGCAAACTGGTATGGACGGTCATAGGGTGGTGAAGAGCGGGTCGGCTGGAGAGGGCATGTGTTGATGCGACGGTGAGCGGGTCGGCCACCTTCGGAGTCTCAATTTCAAACTGCGACGAGGCCTGGCCTTGGCACGGCGAGTGAATACCCTTGTGGAGTTGGAATGATTCCCGATGATAAGGCAGCTGTTGCGCTTGCTTTTCGGCCGGCCCAAGGGGTACTGTGCCGTCTAACAATGACGGAACTGATTTGCCGAGACGCACTAAGCAGAAGGGCCTGAGCTCAACAAAGTTGGAATTTGGAATGCTGGTGTCGTCACAGGAAAATGAAGTTTTAAGCGACGGTTGCGTTTAAGGAACATAATGAAAGTATTGTGACGAAAGGAGTGGTAATATCCGTGGACGGCACATGATGAAGGAAAAGCCAGTGCATAGCGGATGCCCCTCTGGCCCATGAACCGCTTTCCGTAACTCAATGAGCGAATCGGTATGGCGGCTTCGCACTCTCAATTTCAGGGTAAATATTCCACCTCGCGGCACGGCTCGAGGTTTCTACCGCCACTCCCCTGGACGCGGTGTCATCCTATGGGTAAAATAATGCCTTCGTAATGATGATCAAGAATCATTCGAGATCCCTCCAATGGAGGCATCGAGGTTACCCACCGGAGGCACTGGAAGTAGTCAGCTAAGGCCCTGCAAATCCGTCACCGAAGTCAAGCTGGGAAAGACTGAAACTACCTTTACTTCCTTCAGCTGATCAAATCGTGGAGCGAAATCCGTGCCGTCGCGCATCCATCAAGCTGATGCATCATGCTATCATCGCCGGGTAGCAAGTGCAGGACATATCGGCTGGTCTCCGATATGCGACCCACGGCAGAAGCTTGGACTTTTTAAAGACAATTCCATGAACAAAAACAAGGGGGAGTTGATCTTTTTAAAACATCGTTGAAAGTGCGGCTGCGCGCGAGACCAGGAACCGCCGGGCACCATTCGCCTCGACAGAAAGTGAATCAACTTGTGTCACTTCAGAAACAGGAAACACGACATCTGGGGCGCAGCGAGTTAGCGTATGATGTTCAATCGTGGCTGGCCGTCTGAGAACTGGTGCAACGGCCATCCGTCTTGAGACGCAGGAGGGCGAAAAGCAGTGATCAAAGGGACGACACGCACGATCAGGCGATTCAGGTTTTCGAACCCTGCCGAGAAGAACGCATGCCCGCCATCCTCGTTAACCATTCGTTTTTGAGGTCCTAGATCAGGTTCCGAGTTCCATCCGCTAGAGTGGTAGGCCACAGATGGGCGAGTGCCTAATTCGTAGTAAGAGCACAGGTGTCCCACAGAACGCGCTCAAGGGAAGAAGATATCAGTCTATACTGTCTGGTAAGCACGGATGCTCACGATCGCAGAGGGGCTGATGGAAGTCGTTACCGGGCGTATGTCCACACATCCGATTCCAAGAAATGAGGGGGAAACAACCAGGAGCGCAGGTGGAATACCAGGATCCACGTTTCTTAGAATATGCATAACGAAGCCAAGCAGTGTTTGCGAATTTCCCCCAGATTCTGAGGAGGAGAATTATAATCAATACAAAATATAAACGACTCAAGCACTGGAAACCTACGAGGAGCCATTCTGGCTGACTCATGTTTGCATTCTACTGGTCGATGAGATGGGGCCATACTTTTCAACAGCGGTTTAAGTATCAAAAAATATCCGCCACGACGTCCACAAGGTGTCTAATGGGATTTTAGGACGGCGCGAGTTGGTCTGCTATCACATATCATTATCATTCTCCCACACCCATTCTTTTGTTAATGAGTCTGGTCTTGTGAATTCCTGAGAACAGGAAGTCAGGATGAAGAAAAGAAGAAAGAATTTTGACCCAATTTACCTGGAAGGTTGATAAATGTCTTCGGTGCTTTCGTGGTGTCAAAAACAGGTCACGAAGACGAGAATGGCAAAGATGAGTCATTTATTCCCACGCCACAGACGCGTCTTTAGAACTCAAGTTCGTTGTATTCCCTTTACGTAAGCTATGGTTGGCATTTGCCATTGGTGTTGAGAAATATGTGACATATCATCTAATCACACGTATCGCTGAAATTGTCGGTTCCTGCCTGACATCGATTGTCTCCGTTTTGGGACAGGTGTCGTAGAATCGTACTGGATGCGAAATCCAAGTTCTGTTTTTGTTAAAAGATTATCTTGGGATGTCAAAGGAATGTAACCATCTTCTCACCGTGTACTCCATACTTTATACTGTGAATGTCATCATTGATTGCCGTCTGCTGCTCATTTGATACTAAGTGCACAGGACAATAGATGGTAAAATACGGTGTAGAAACGCCGCCCGGTGCACTCCGGCAGAGATTCGATAGTGGGCTATTTCGCCGGAGGCTTTATAGGCAACTCGGGGTCTCCTGGACAACATTTACTCTTCATCATTGAAGTGTTGTTCGTCAGAACGATGGAAGCAAAAAAGAATCCTTCCATTCTGCTGCCCCAGAGAGGCTCGAACTCTCGACCTTCCGATATCATTATTAGAACATAACAGTCGGACGCTGTAACCAACTCAGCCATGGGGCAGATGGTGTGCCTGGCAGTCATGCCCGGTGTTAAGGCTCCATGTAGTCGTACCCTAGATTTTCTTGAAGACTGATTGATAAAAGTCGTGGCCTGTAGTATAAGCGACCTTTGGATATGAATGTAGCTCTTAGATAAAAGTGGGGGTGCATTGTTGGCACAGTCAAGCGGTCATCATGTCATCGGCAACAGGACTCGCCGGGATGTGCCGAAGCTCAAGACGGACTTCGTCGTGTGCGCCACGCTTCGTCGCCTCGTACTCCCAGATTCTGTTATCGATGCCCGCAAGAAAAGAAATCCAAACAAGGTCCCCTACCTCCCGAACACGCCTTCGATCACGGGTGGGCTGCAGGCTAAGTCTCCTCAACAGAGTACCGCGGTGAGTATTTCACACCTCTGGTCGCGCTTTGTCTGCTTACCAGTTTTCAAACTCACAGAATACGACGTTCCGTAGATTCAAACGGCGCCTTGGAAGGAACCTTGTCAATAGGATTCCTGCCCATGGTCCCTTGATTGCGGTTATAGGACTTGCTGCTTGGTGTATACTCACTGGCCAGGATAAATCTTTGTGAGGAACGACCACTTGAGTATGTAGGTTCACTTTGATACTTTTATCTTCTCAACTGACTTTGATTTCGCAGACCTTATTCTTTCATGGCTCAACGCACTACATAGTGCCTTCTGTGAGATGGGACCCGTTCGAGGCGGTCGTGCTAATGCTTATCTTCTATCCAAAGGATCCGAGTACAGGACATACTCTCAGAACATCGCTTATACAAAGTCTTCGTACGTCCGAGTCCTCATCCATGTCTGCAAGCTCGGAATGCGAATCCTATTGGGATTTGAGAGCGTACGCAAGGACGACCTTCATGAATAACCATAGACCGAGAGAAATGATCTCTGAAATCGCGTGTAGAAGGTATATAGGTGCAAAAGATAAGCGAGTCGCAAAGTCAAGGCGTGGCGGTGTTGAAGGAAAGAGTTCGGACTGAAGAGTGACGGGTGTGTATTACGTCGTCATTGAATCGATTGATCCTTGCCTTTATCTAGTCTGCCATTCGCCGTTATTTATAACGACCACTGGCCTTACGACACCCAAATCGAATGCCCTTGGAAACGACGCCTATTTATTTGTTCTGGCGCTCTGACTGCTCCCTCACCACCTGTATATTTAGCGAAGGTTCTCACCAATGTCCAAGTCACCAAGCTGCAAATGAAGGAAGGGCGTGGTTGGACAATCTTTTTTACGAAGAGACTTTCTCCAAATTACTAGGGCGACTACCATACATACCGCTGGAAGTGCAGTACTAATTAGTTCGCAGAGGAACTTGTCAATCACGGCGGGCTTGGTCATCACTACAGCCAGCGCACCAGCCACCGATTGGACGACGAATTTGAGATGCCCTTGTGTGATTATAACACTCTCAGTAATACTGCTGGGTCTATTCATGTGCGACATCATGATAGGGACAATTGAAGGAGGGTATCGGCTGCGTTCATTATTCTCCGCTGTGTATATTTCCGCTCTGGTTTGTGCTCTCTAGGCCTCTTCAAATGGTACCAGCACATCCCGACTGGGCAGGAATACATAAGCCGCAAAACAGCCTCGCCTTTTACGCCTGTTCCCCTTGACCGTTTGCCATGTGATAGTTTGCTGAAGGATTATTGCACAATATTCCACCAGAACCACCCACTCTCTCGTTACACACTTACATCCAGGTCACTTCTTGCGGGTGTTGATGAGAAATTTGGGGAGTATGAGACCATTAAGGCGATGTCCTTGGCACACAGCATCAAATTCTCTATTTCTGGTGAACGACATGCTCAATGTTCACCAGAATTATTGAAGAACTATATTCACAAATCTGTCGCCATGACGTGATATATCTCATGCCGTGGCCCAAAGCGCGTATCTAATTTTTGGGGTTCTTGTTCTCAGTCATTGACTGACCTTCCTTTAGCGCGCGCTCTTCCTTCTGCTCTAATATAAGCCATTGCTCCGTGCTAGTCGGCGTACATGGTGGGGTACTAATGGACCCATACGCGTCTAAACGAAGAGCCTACTCTTACTACTCCCGAACAAGTCCAACGGATTCCGAAAGATGGAAGGTGTTCAGACTCGGGTTTGGCAGGTATAATGGAGGGTTCTCTGCGCCTCATAATGGTTTGTCCTCTCTATTTGTGTTTAACGAAGAAAACCAATGTGTTTACGAGGAGATTGTCAGATATTTTTAACTCTACGAAACCACGACCACAGGGCTTTTCCGGTGAGTTTTTTTGCGGGCACATAACTCTGATAAAGGTTTAGCACTGAGAGGTATGCCGGCAGTTCCAGGTCCCCATATTTATATTCATCTGTTTAGCAGGTCCCGAGTAATGGATGCCACCGTGTATGGTATGCATAGGTTTGGAGTCTCCTGTTGAGATACCGCGCTATACTAATGGATATATGCAGGTTTGCGTCAATATAATACGGTGCCTAGCAGTGGTGTGTACGCAAACATAGCCATGTGCCAAATTTGTTTAGCAGTTGTTGTCTATTCATTCGCCCTGCGAACAGCTTCCACGTTATTCCAAAGTCGTCCGTTGTGTGACGGCTTGAAGAGGAATGAGAAGAACCATGATTTTGGGACTACATATGGCTGTCTTCGCTGGTTATGATACACTAGTAACTGGAATAACAGAGATGAACTTCGCAGAGGTCAAAAGGACGACATGGAGACGAGACTGAAGGTACTTGTAGGTAATCGAATAGTCGACCCGAATTTGCGACCTCGACGTCTCTGGGACCTGTACAACAATCGAGTGGTGCTAGGGTGGGTAAGCGGTACTAAGGTATTTTTCCGGCCAATATCCCGTACGTGGGTGGATGAGCAAGATCGGGTGGATGTGTGGACATCTATCAACGGGAAGAAGTGGCCCCTACCCATTCCGAACTGGGCGCTAGTCTTGATCTCATACGGATCGAGATGTTCAGTCTTGGAGTGGAGTACATGTGGCTGGACATCCTCTGTTTAAGACAGGAAGGTGGGCCAAAGGATGGAGAGGAGTGGGAGCTGGACGTGCCCACAATTGGGCCAGTGTACTTTGGCGCAGAGGTGGTGATTTACCCGAGTGAGCTAGGGCTGCCTTTGAATGTGAAGGAGGACAGCTCGGACAGCGAGAGATGTTGGTTTAGAAGTGTGTGGACACTCCAGGAAATTGGCTGGTACAGGATTATCGCCGGAATCATGCCTAATGGTCCAATCCATGCAAACCCAACAGGACGCTGTGGAAACTACGGAATGGAGCTGCTGGCAATGTTTCACAAGCAGCTAGGGTCAGAGAAGTATTCCTGGCATTTATTTGGTCATTTTGCAGACATGCGGAAACATGTGTTAGTTGCCCACTTGCCGACCCCGTCTAGATATTCAAAATATCCCGGACACAGAAAAAGAGTAGTAATCAAATAATTCACTCATGAAGCTATTCTAGCCTTCAGGGTGCTGAATCATGAAAGTCGAACTAAAGATCGAAAGGAAAGTCAGTAAACTGTGGCGCGGCAGCGGCAATTCCCGTGATCCTCGGAAAGGCCCGACGAGCCTGCTTCTTCGCGTATCACGACCTTGATATCAATCTTGATTTCAGCCAGACTTCTCATATCTCCCAGTAACAATGACGCTGCATGTTCTTTGGACACGCAATTCTTTAACAAGAAATCTGACACGAACGGAAGCCAAGTCACTGATTTAAACTCTTGGTAATTATCTTATCTGATCCTGAATTTACCTATCCGCAGAGCAGCGATGAATTCCCGTTTTTCTTATTTATCTGAAGTAGTATTGATCTACCTGTCAAGTCAACACTTTTGAAGCAACGGTCATACACTGGATGTCGAAACTCTTCCGCTGGCTACTATGCCAACACAAGCTTCCACAGCAGTGCCGATATTCACTCTGGATGATGGCTATGTCCCTTCCATACGCTCATTTAGATTGCTGGTATCAATCTGTATCTAATCCCACTCCGGGGCCCGAAATATGATTGTCGCATATCGCGACCGATATCTCCTCGTTGTATGTGATGTCACCCCCGAGTTGCTCTCTGCGACAACTCTTCACCCACGATGTTGGCCATTCCATTATCCTTGTGAGCTCCAGTGTCTTTCACCGAAGCATCTCTGATTTTTTCCCGAAGAATTCTTCTTGCATCATATGCCGCATCGTGGCAGTTCCAGCTCAACAGCACAGCCGTGGCCAATGCCTCTGCCAGCGTTACATGGACGAGGGAGGCAGACGATAACCCGGCAGTCGGTTTTGGTTTCCGTTTGAGACAGACTGATGTGCTTCCTTCGAGCGAGACTATTCCATATTGGTGCCAATTCGGGGGTGTTCTGGAGACTAAGGGAGAATTTTTTGTGCAGTTTTATACAACAGGGTGTGTGTTCTGTTATGATATTTGACTGATATCTCATGAAGTTATAGATCATATATTGCTGAAGCGATGAACCGCACGGCACTCCAAGCGTTCGATTTGAGAGCTGATTATCTTTACCTTCCTTAACTCTGTTCACAGGACGAACTCATCGAGTGATATCCTCGGTTCCAGCAATGTAATCAGTGTTCAAGCAACTGACTCGCAAGTACCATCTGCTCGGCGACTTCTCAATTTGGACTTAGCGAATCCCCATAGAACCATACAACCTTCCGGAGACGTCGTCACTGTCAATTTCGTTGCTGGTCCAGCTGTACAAGTGTGAAGTTCTTTCGCCTGCCCGTCGTGGATTCGAGAGCTTATGCATTTCTTTCCCTCAGATCAAATCCTCAAACGTACGTCACAATACATGTTAGGTTTCATCGGCGTCCTAATGATCCTCAGGACATCGACAACGACATCTGATCCACCTACCACATCAAGCTCTCCTAGTACCACACGAAGCTTGTGAGTTTTCTCCTCACCCGAAAAATAGAACATAAGCCTTATCATTTTCAGCATACCAATACCAAGCGACACTTTAATATCAT